TAAACGTGACCACATAAAGTAGGATTAAATGAAACAATAGTCAACAAAAGAATATGATAGTCACTTGTGAGTTCTACAAATATTTCTGAGATTATTTGATTCGAAAGTTCATGAACTCTCTGTCTCATCATATGGTTCGATGTTAACCAACAATTTAAAAATTGTTTTCTTGAATTTTGCTAATGATTTTATCGATTTGATGTCACTAGAGAGTTTGTTATAAAATCTAATACAAGAGTATAATGCACTGGACTCAGTTAATCGCAATCTGTGTGCTGGATATGTGTAGTTACTAGTTAGAGTGTCTGGTATCATGTTCTGTCTGAGATTTCATATTTGTATAAATAATCGTTCATTTTTGAAAATGAATAATAGGCACTCTTGAATGAACATCGCATAAAAGGTGAGTAGTTTATTTTTTCTGAATAAACCTCTGCATGAATCTCCAGGTTTCAAGTTCCAGAGAATTCTGAGAATTCTCTTCTGGATTATGGAGATCGCGTTTGCGGCCCTGCTACTTCCATAGAATATGATACCATACCTCATGATCGACTCCATGTTTGCATGGTAAACCATCTTAAGTGTATGGTACTTGACATATTTAGCAATAATTCTTATACTATAACCAGACGAGTTTTCCACTGATATTATTGATGTGATTCATCCAACTCAATTTAGTATCAATGTGCATTCCTAGGAATTTCACATATTCTGACATGCTCACATTTTAATTATCAATTTCAATATGTGTTGGAATAACAGATCTGGGATGATTGATTGTGAGAAACACAAAATTAGTTTTGCTTTTATTCAGAATTTGTTTGTTCATTGTAAACCACTCATTTGTTACTTTGAGAATATGATTAAAATTAATTACCAAATCCGGAAACAGTTCACCACGGACCATAAAATTCGATTTGTTATCATAGTAAATAGTCATAGTAAAACCTACCAAATAACACACTTCAAGCATATAAATGCAAGCGGAATAAGCTCCATCTTTTCTAATTCGTTCGATTGAATCAAAATCTGGCAGATGAAAAACCAATCTGCACTGTTGAAAATTCCTTCGAGTGAATGCATATTTGGTTGTGAGTGAATTTACTGATTGAAATTTTTGAGTGAATTCTCAACGCAAACTAGAAATTCATCAAGTTTTTCTATCAATGAAGATGTTTACAACAAATTTGATTGAATCGGCACATGAATTGTCATTTTACACAGTCAAGTTGAGTGGAATTTCAACTCAATCGGGCGTGTACCGAAATTGACACATTATTGCGTGGACCTTGAGTGAAATTTCACTCAATTTTTTTTTAGTGTGATGTCTTGAAAGCTCTGGGACACCCTGTTTAAATTCAGTTCCAGTAGAATCATTCATCATAGTATATTGAACCTTTGGAACGCAAATTGATTTGGAGACCTTGATCACCTGGAGCACAATTCTAAGAATTAGGTAGGTAGGCGTTCGTGGGTAAAATCATTTACCTGATGACATCAGATTATCCTGCCACCCCTGTTATATAAGCAACCATTTCGGATTAAATCAGATTACAATCTAATATGGCATAAACTTTGTTTTTTCAAAAGGAACACCCTGTATATTTTGGAATTTTCTAGTTCAACAGGTCGAAACAGATGCAATCTTTATGTCGATTGTAATTTTCTCGAATAAATTGAGATTGAAATAGTTTGTTAATTTTACTTCGGCAAATAATGAGATGAGATGTGTTCAAGACTAGTCACAATGAGTCCCACATACAGAAACATAATTTCTACTAAAAAATATCCAATGTTTCTCTCATCACATTTCAGTCATATCACATTTTGTTCAAATAAAATTCTTTTCGATTGGAACTCCTATCACCTATATTTCTCTCTATTATCTAAGGATAAAAATTACATATCATTTTTGTATTTTGGTGCAGTCAGAGTTTATTATACAAGCGGAAAAAAGTCGATTTTGCTTCAGGTTGTGTTGTCCACCGACGCGTAGTGGAGGAAAACAAAATACCCTGAGCTAAAACCTAATATGTCTTTCAGAAAATTATCGACGAGAAATAAGATTTTTTTACAGTAATCACCTGCGTTTGCAAGCATCTTCATCATTCTTTTGAAGTCATCGAATATCTGTCTAATTTGTGATTTGATTTCAAGAACTTGCAAATTTAGTAATTGTTTAGTAATTCACGTAACTATAACTATAGCACAACAACATCCATCATCAGTGTTTATCCATGTGATTTATATATGAAAATCTGTTATTCCTAGAAAGTGACATTTTATAACTTGCCAACTGAGATGAAATTTCAAACTTTTTTCCTGTTACAAAAAAAAAATACATTCAAAAATCAACAACTAATTACATGAATTTCCTTGCAATTATTTCTTAAGTAAGCAGTGATTAACAACTTTTGAATCTTGTTATGAAGATTATGCTTGTTTTGACCTGTTGAACATGACTATTCATGAATATACGGAGTGTTTCATTTGAAAAAACAGAGTTGGTGGCATTTTCAAAGAAACTGGAAGCGTGCCATATTGGATTGTAATGTCATCAAATCCAAAATGGTTGCTTACATAATTGTAGATACCAAATTCCAGAAAAATTCGTTACCGAATGCAGAAGTTACAGGGGTGTTTCGATTCCCTGTGTCACCCGTATATTCTTTGTGGATACGACAAAAATGTCCTAAATTTCTGTTAGAAACGTGAAGTAGTTAGATGATATCTCAATTTTGATAGATGACTTTGGCATCATTTGACTGAAACATCAATTTTGTCTCCTGAATGATAGAGGATATATCAACGTTGCATCAAACATGAAGTTTTGTAGCGAGCATCATTAAATTTTCTGAAGAAGATCATATTTTTGTTGATAATATTTGTGATTGGAAGTGGTAACATAACGAAGCCACAACAATGAAATGGTTTTAATGTTTTTTTCTCAATATTACAGACATTTCGTAGGAATTGAAGAGATATCAAAAACTAAAGATCGTATAGAAAGTTGAAATTCGAGACTCATATGTAAATATGGAATCGAAATTTTCGAAATCCAGAGTAATAAGACTATTTTTAGAATCAAATGTATCTTTCGACATGTAGCGAAAATCATGTGACCCCGACCAAGTAGTCCATTTTTCATATTTTTCAAAGCGAAACTCAACGCCCTAGTAAAACAAAATAAATTATTATTAAAAGTGTTTCCCATATTATAATGCCGACTTCATAAATGACACTGTATATCGTTGTGCTAAGATAATCGATAATTTCCTTTGACAACGAATATTTTCATCTTCGGCGTATTTCCGAATCGTATACAAGGTTTCTCATATAATTTCCCTAAGATGTAATAACCCACTTATGCAGGAACATAAAACGATGAATACGGACATATATTTTGAAAACTATTCAAGTCATTCCCACTAAACCCTTGAAACCACAACCTTATATCACCCCCAACATTTCATGAGCATGTATATTCATTCATTGAGATGCTTTTCCATTTTTGGGGTGATTATTGGAGTCGAGTAATTATATACTTTTCACATTCTGTGAATGCCTTGTCTTGTGTGTGTATAATCTTTGTTCATATACATTATTCCATCTGGGTAATGCATCATACATTTCATTTGTTAAATATGTATATCAAAATACATGGTGGTTCTAGAAAAATCGATATATACATGAAAGTGGGTGTAGTAGATTTTTATCTTCCAAATACTATGAAGAGCCAACTTGCATCAATGACATGAACTGGTGACAAGAAAGATCTATGATGATTTTTATGTCCACTAGATTGAAAATTCTCATGTGTCAATGTCAGTGATATTCAAGTAGGGCAAGTTGGCTCAAATCGTGAAGTGAAAAACCCTAATAGCACAAATATGTCCCGTGAACATCGTTAGGACGTCCCATCGGGATTTTCAGGATGTCCATGGGACGTTCGAATCTGGTACCGCGAACCCCCATTGGACATCTGTGTGATGCACATATTATGTTCCACTTGATGACCAGCTAGGGACGTCCTTGAGGCATGAGACAACTATACTGAAACTTAAATCCTACAGTATTTCTCATCAAGCACCACGGAGGATATTCGTAGGACAATCTATGAGCAATTCTGAGAGATATTATTTGGATGTCCATAAGATCTCCCAAGGTTGTACGAATTATTCTTGAACTTGTATTCATTTGGGTCTCCCCACGACCATATCTTGCATAACTGTTGAGGACATCCAGTTGAGTTGATGGTCCATTAAAGGTTGCTAATAGATCCTGAAAAAGGTTACCAAGACAAGAGGTCCCATCAAATAAGTTTCTCAAGGATGTCAAATGGACCTTTGTGAAACACATTGACGTGGAATTTTGATTGTCTACGAGCAGACGATCATCGGCGAGGTGTAAGTTAACGTCCACGCAGGTACAGCATACTGAACGTGCTGAGTGGGACGTCCGTAGAACGGTTTTTCTAGGACATTGAAAGATAAAATGACCATCGCTTGCTTGAAGGACACCTATTCAGGATGTCTATCTGATGCCAATTTATACCACCGATGGAAGTCACATTCCGAATCGATTTCAGGACATTATGAGGACAACCTTGGAACGTCCATAAGACATTGTTCGCATGACATTCTGAAAATATCAAGGGCACCCGTGCAGATATATTATATGAGATTTGAAGTCATGCAGTCTCGTTCAAAATTATATTCATTCAGGGACATGCTAGGGACGTCTTTTAATAGACATTCTATGATATGTTCTACGTGGAACAGCTGACCTTTTCTTTTCCGAACATTGCCTGAGATGTACGGATTGGAATGACGTGAGAACAAGTCCAGGACATTCGGGCTTGAATTGTACCAAGTAGGGACGTTGCGTGCTATTAGGGAAGCTACTAATCCTTCATGTACAATTTCTTTATAACCACCCGGTATGTCACGTATAGCATGCATATTTCGACATTTCCTCATTTTGCATGTTGCATGTTTTAGTAGGACTACGGAATGGACCCTTGTGAATACCGAAGATGTGGAGCCAAACACACAGAACGAAAAAGGTACGTTATATTAATAAAAAAGTACATCAAATCAGTGAACGTCAACATTAATTTTGGGCCGATGACGGGTGTCATTAATACAATGAACGGTCGTACGTAAATTTTCTTGTTGATTAAGTTATGACTGCAGTACGTTGAATCAACGAATCATGGTCATGGATCTATGTTTGCCGGTTATTGATATTACGTTGTTGTACATTGAATCAATAAACATCGAGCATGGATCTATGATGATAAACATTGGTTTATGGTTGATGTACATTGTATCAATTAACAGTGAACATGAATATGTAAGTGCCAGTTACGAAGGACAGACTCAGTTTATCACAGCTGAACATTGAATCAATAATCAGCTAGCATGGATCTGTGATCGGCGGTTATTGATATTACGAACGATAGGCATCACTTGATGATTTTCTTCATTGAATCAATGAAAAATGAGCATGAATCTATGTTCGCCAGTTATCGATGTAACGAAAAAATTCTATTGGTATTCAACAGTGCATGGTATAGTCGTCGTCGAAGATAATGTTGTCAACAGTATCGTCACTATCAGTAATAAGGGGACAATTTTTTCAGGCATCAGAGTTATTATTTTCTAAAATTTTGAAAAACCCAGAATCGGCCCAAAATTATCTAGTACATCCACTGATTTGATGTGACCTGATGAATGATATAATATACATTAACAAAGCAGTCGCAGAACACTGGTTTTCTTAATGAAATATCTTTTTTTGTTGTTGAAATCTATCTAATTGTATTGATTAACAAATATGTAATGAATATTTGTTAATAAAGTCAACTAAAAATGTTTCCGAAATGTCAAAAATACACTGAATGATCGAAGACTGATAAACTTGGACGATATTCAAAAAACAAATATTCGCTCACCTTATACATTTTTTGTCGGAATAAACAAATATTGCCCTTTCCATTCATTATAATATAATTATATTTAGGTACCTGATAATAATGGAAATGTTCCACAGAAATCTCCAGAAGTTTTAAAAAAATCCCAACACCTATACCCCCTCTCCCTATACAAGGCAACGGAAATTTTGTCAAATCAGGCAAAATACTGATCTGAACACCTAATTAACTTGATTTTCATTTTCTGTAGAAAATAAAATGATAACAATGTGATGACAATAACCAGTAGTTGTACAAAGAATAGTACCTTGTGCATCCCACGAGTACCTACCGAGCAAACATTCTGATATGGGTACAACATAATCGAAACATTGAGTTGCCCATAGCAAGCATACATAAATGATGGGACTGTAATGGCCAATTATCGACATTGGGTACATATTAACGAGGTAGGAGGAGGGGTAGGAGGAGGGGTAGAGGGAGGGGTAGGGGTTTCAGGGGTCCAATTGATCTGGAAGTTCTAGTAACTCAATATATTTTTTAATGTTTATCATCATATTATATCAAATAGACACATACCAGATTTCAAGGAAACAATTAATGAATGACACAATGATATCTTCTTAACCTCTCTCTTCTTTCATGATAAAACTTCTCAGAGTGACTGCTTACCGGCTGGTATATCTACATCTTCATCTCATTTGGAAAGCATTCCTCCAAAATAGATTCTTCGTTGCGAGGTAGGTACTCCTGAAATATAAAATTCTTCATAAGTTATCATGAAGTGGCCTTTCTTGATGTCAGAATTCTTTCTTCATGAAAGTATAAGAAACAAAATACTCTGTTACATGAGTTTATAACTTGATCAATATATAGTCTGATTACGTGATATATACTTACATATGGAGCTTTTCAAGTCTCGTTATTTTTTTTGGCACAGGCCTCATTGTTATCCACTTCAATGATAGAGACAGGTTTCCATAACCTAATATCACTTTTGATAATAACGAACCAAGCAGTCCATAATAGTTACGCTTCTGGAGAGGTAGGAGCCACTACAATTATTATCATCACAAACACATGCATTTCATAACAAAATTTGGAACACTAGATAGGTAGATTGATACAGTGGCGCAGCCAGAATTTCGTATTAGGGGGGGGTTTTGAAAGAATCAGGGAGAGTATTACAAAAAAACGAGAATATATTATAGAACACAAAACGTAACGTACATATGAGGTACATTTGAAACAATATAATTAAAAAAAACTCATATATTGAATAGGCATAGTCAAACAGCGTACAGATATAATACTTTAAAAATATATAAATGACAATAACAACATAGATCATCAGAAAACATAGTAACATTATAAATGCAATCTGAATGTAGGTACTTATCAATTATATTGAAATTTGAAGACGGCGAGATTTGAGAGCCAAGACATCAAGAACTTCGTCTTCCGTAATAGGAATATCTGGATGAATATACATCAAGGCTAGGTAAACGGCCTAGCCTTCTGTATCTGTCGTCTCCAGTTGAATTCCGCAAATAATTTTTTAGAAATTTCAGGGACGAAAACGATCTTTCACAAGAGCACGTGGTGACTGGTAAGGTTGCCATTATGAGTAGAAGTCTATAAATTGTGGGAAACAAATTTTTATTGCATACTTCCATAGCCTCAATCGCACTTCGTGGATTTTCTGTTTTATCTTTGATAAACTGAACCCAAAGTGTAACTTCTCCCAACTCACTAGAATCGTCCAGTCCATAAAATTCCAGAAGCTGTTGTGTAGAATTGAAAATTTCGCTGATGTCTAAACTATTATCATGACATAAAAGTCTTTGAAAGAGGCGCTTCGAACATAATCACTACACAGTTGCCAAGATTATTTTTTTTTACCTAGATTGAATAATTATTGATCAACCTTTTCTAGTTTGCGTCTGGGTCTGGGGGGGGGTTTTAACCCCTAAAACCCCCCCTCGCTGCGCCACTGGATTGATACTTCATATTATCATCATTGAAGAATCCATCTTCTATATTATCAATTGAGAATACTCTTGCCACCATAACTGCCATTATAACGACCAGGGAAAGTGATGAGCACAGTGATATGACAACAAACCAGAGAAAAACGAAACATACGCTATCACTAGTGTGACATATAATAATTGTCCAAATGATCAGCTGATTGTTGATGTAGACGTTCCCAGAAAATCCACCAGTGGGACGAGTAGTGAACAGGATATTGGCCACCAAGGGGCCACAACTCGTCAGTGCTCAACTCGTTCCATACATCATACCATCACAAGGCCATCATCGTATTTTCAACTGATGGTTACTTAGCATAGAGAAATCATCGGCCATTACCAATACAACGGCATCGACACTTTCTCACACTTGCCTGCACTAGGCCGGAATTCTCCCGGTATAGTTCAATGTTTGCTGAGTAAATATATCCTAATCGTAAGAATTGTGAAAAAAGTAATTGAAAATTAACAGGACTCACTTTTCTCAAATATGTTAGGTTTTGTATCCCATTGATCTGGCACAATTTCACAAATAGGTATAGGAATTCTACAAGCCACAGAAACACAAAACACGACCCAGCCCTTTCAACTTTTCATTAACAACTGAACGAATAGAAATAAAATAAACCGGCAAATGAAAAATTCACCGCGTATTATGAAACCTTTTCATAGTAATAATGTTTGGCGTGATTGATCCATGGGTAGGCAGCATTAATTTGGCGCCTGTTTTGGAAGTTGATGTTTCATTTCATGAAATCAACGTTTAGTGTTCATTGAAACAATGAAGACCATTCATTATTTTCTTATGTTTGTTGTTGATAGATCTATGACGAAAAGTTTATTGCTTCAATGATGAAAAACATAGATCAATAAACATCAAACGTTGATTCAATGAATTTTTTCATCATATGAATAAAAAAAATGATTAAGTTTTGATGTTTTTCGTTCATTGTTCAATGTTGGCTCGTTCATTGTTTCAGCGTCTTGCGGTATGAACCCATCATCAGAAATGATTGTAATAATCATCGATTCGTAATATTAATGTTCAAAAAATTGACGACCGCCGTTCATTAATTTTACGTACAAAATTATTTTCTGTGCACGATACATAATTCGAGCAGTCACAATTTCACAGTGTCAGTTCATGGAAATGGTTGATTTGCATTAGTGATTCACACGAGACCAACGAGACGAGACTTTCATAAAGTCTCGTCTCGTCTCGCCGATGAAATATGAAGTCTTGTCTCGAGTCTCGTCTCGCAGACCCTAGTCTCGTCTTGTCTCGCGTCTCGTACGAGAGTCTCGCAAAAGTATCGCAATTTCGTCATGCATAATCTTGTTCCAGTCTAGCTAGTACGGGATATTTACCTTTGCCTACTTTCTAGGTATAATGTAGAAGTAGAAAGAGAGAATTACAACAAAAATAACATTGTTTATGAAAAAGTTAGTAGCAAATAGGTACATACTTACATCATACATCTAAACAAGAAAAAAAACATAGCATTATATATTCGAAAGTGATAAAAAATAAATTAAAAAGAAACACGTATATTCTAAACAAATAAACAAATCAAAAACTTTACTCCAACACTATTTTACTCATTTGAGAAATAGGTATCAAAGAAAATAGTTATTAATTTTTCTGTGGTAGTCCATACTCAAAGTGGAGTGGAATGATCAATAGAGAAAAACCCAAAGTCGTCTCCACATTTTTAATGTATAATAAGGCAGTCAATCCTGCTTTATTGAGGTTGATACATGTTTTGGCAATTCAAATGGCCATCTTCAGTCGAAAGAATAAAAAAGTGTAAGTGGAAATTACTTCAATGCATCGTGAAGGCGAAAAAATTGTATTACTCATTCAACATTTATTATTTGTATTATTTATTGGATTGGGCTTTTTGCCTTTCTGCCAATTCCTCTTACATCACTCCATTTTCAACAAATAATACAAATAATAAATGATGATTGAGCAATACATTTTTTCGCCTTCACGATGCATTGAAGTAATTTCCACATACACTTTGTTATTCTTTTGACTGAAGATGCAGGATTGACTGCCTTATTATACATTAAAAATTGTGGAGACGACTTTGGGTT